GTGTGTGTGTGTGTGTACTGTAAAATGCTGATGTGATTACTCTGCGTGTTGACTCAAAGGCTTTAAAAAACACAGAACAGAATCTGCCTGTTGGGTTGTAGAGACACACTGGAAGCGTTTGCACTGTTTGTTCCTTGTTTTTCACTCCGATATCGGCCTACGTGAGTCTCGTGTTTTAGCCTTCCTTGCGTTTTAAAGCCTCTTCTTCGTCATCTATGGAGTGGAAACATCAGATTTGCACTCAGTCAGAAAAAGTTATAAGCACGTTCCTGCTCATGGTTCAGTTTAAACTCCCAGCACCCCACCTCCTCTCAGTCGAAGAGTCAGTCACAGAGGACGGCAGCAGAGGTCGGACCACCGTCTGAGGCTGTCACAATACCTGAATCATACATTTGATACAATACTAGCATAAAAAACAACAATAAACTTAAAAAGGCACAAAAAATATGCTAATTATTATTATAGATTAGCAACCTGCACACTGATTGTACAGAACTGAACGCAGACACATTTGTAATAATGTTCATTATTAGTAAGTTTGAGGCTCAGGCTGACAATCTGGTTGCAGGTTGTTGTTTTTTATAACTTTGGTACTTTCAATACTATTGAATGATAGTATTGTATCAATTTAAACACTCGGTATTAAAAAAGTATTGAAGTATGGTGACTTGTGACAACCGTACCACCGTTGCTAACGGTTCTATAGCGGTTTATCCGAGGGTCAGCAGAGAGCGGCGGAGCGGGCGACGGTCTGGAGCCGCGTTGGGGTTTGTGGTCATTTGGAGAAGTCTGTATAGTTTACATCCTGCTCTGCTGTCGCCCTGTATCCACTGACGCTGCTACAAAACAAAAGTGCAGAGATAACCGAGAAGTTGACTCGAGCGATGACAGGGATCATCGACTTCTCGGGCAGTGGAGGTATCTGGAAGTCTGAACTGGATGCAGTTTTATGGTCGATAAAAATACGTTGTGCAGTTTGCCTTCCATTGGCAAATTAACCAAAAAGTTTATTTTGGACCCTGGATGGTCGGTCGTTTGGTTTGGTAAATCTTTGATGGATTCAAATTAGAATTACTACAAACATTCAGGGTTTCCAGGCCAGCACGAGGTTTTTGGTTTTATTAATAAATCTCAACAGCTGTTGGATGTATTGTCGTGGAACCTGATTTACAGAGCCGCCAGCATGGTGGTGGAGGGTTGTTTTTCCCTCTATCGGGTCTTCCAGGTTTGATGATGAGGCCGAGCTGGTGTGTCACGTTTCTGCTGATGGACTGTGTGAGGTCAGGGTTTCTCTGCTTAAATAATGGATCACAGCTCAGGATAGGAGCAGGTGTGAATGATTAAAGAAAAAAAGAAGTTTGCCCCGAAAAGCTTCTCAGATAAATTTCATCATTCATCATCATCACTAATATCTATTTTTTTCTAAAATCAGGCCACTTAAACAAAAATAGAAGCATCATGAGTCTGTGGCGTCTCAGTGTGAAGGAGCTTTTTGAAGTTAAACCCGGGCCAAGTCCAGCCCGAGGCAGACAGCGAACATCACAGGAGTTTGATCCGCTAAAAAAACACATCTTGACATTCAGTTTGAGGAGCCACCGTCTCTTCACATCCACTCCTCCGTCTCCACGGTACTGTCCTCCTAGCTGAATACAGGTAACTAGCCTGATAGCTAACAGCTCATGGAAATCAGACGTGTGTTGGTTGTTTGATGGCGCTAGGCTAACAGTTTATTCATTGATTATTGGTTGATTGTGGTGATACTGAGGTTGACATTGAGGTTTACTAGAGTGCTTCCATTTGATGTCACTGTCTGCTTGATTTCAGAAGGAAACTTTGTTCGTTTTACTTTTAATCTGGCAGCTGATAATTAATAAATTATGAGCCATTGCAACAGATGAAACCACTCAACTGTGTTTGATTCAGCTTGACCAACTAAATGTTACTTCCACATGAATGTTTCGTAGACTCATAATATATAATATGAAAATTAAAGGTCTTATTTGTGTACTGAATATGAGTTACTGTTTTACATTCAACTGGAGATAAATAAATATTATCTCTGTTGATTTAGATAATAAATACGGCTGACTTTCCTTCTTCAAATTCCCTAAAAACAGATGGGATGGACATTTTCTGAATTAAGCTAGTGACTCAAACTAATGCACCATTATTTTCATTATCAATTAACTTTTCAGTTTCTTTTTGGAGCATCCACTAAATTTCTTCTACTTCCAGCTTCCCAGATGCAAGGATGTATTATGGATCAATTAAAGATGAGATTTAAAGATACACTGGGCATTATGAATACAATTTAAGACCTATTTTACATTACTACTGCAAAAAAAGTAGCACCCTATGCATCTTCTGCTCACTATTGATTAAAAGGCAATATATACTGTATATAGTATATGGGCTGTGAGGAAAGTTCCATGTCAGTTTCACTTTGTAGTTGTATCAGTGTGATCATTAAAAGAGAGTGTGGTATAGTTTCAACCTCCTCTGCTGCTGGTGGCAGACATTAAATTAACTACATATAAATACCCAATGTCCTCTCTGATGGTCTTGTGTGCTACTGTAGGTCATATAGAGGCATCAGTATGAAACTGAGACTGTTTATAAATCCAGTTAAAGATTTTTACCTGTAATGGAGTATTTTTACACTGTACTGTTACTTGCTGCCACTGCTGTTTCTCCATTAATGATGTGATCTCATGTCTTTGTGAATATATTCACATATTCAGGTGTTTGATGTGGACACTCACATGTTATTTCTCTCTCAGGTCTGTCGGTTCTGCAGAGGATCTTGGACACAGCGGCAGAGCACAGTTGGCAGGTCACCTCCGTTAACTTGGACACGCTGACAGAAGCCGCCTTCATCAAGCTGCTGGCAGATCTGGACTATAAGAAGGACTTTCAGATCATCATCGACTGCGAGCTGGAACGACTCAACTCCATCCTCAACCTGGTGAAATACTCACTGATCCTCATGTCAATAAAACACCAAAACAACATCACAGAGGACACAGGATGCTCCGTTTCATACAGAGATATTAACGTATACTAAAGTTATAGGACAATAAGTGTAATGTGTTTTTTGCCAGTTTTTGGCTCCTGCCACTCCGGGGGTTAAGTGAGCTAACTAGTGATCTTAAATGGTTAAAATGAGATTAAACAAATGAACAAGCACTACGGCCCACCAGACTCCACTGACAAAAACATTAAATTTACCTCACAGTTTATAAAACTCTTTATTCCAGTGCTAGAAATAGAATAAAACTCCCGGGATTGGCTGGGCTTGTTGCTTGATTTATTGATTACTGTCGGGATGTAAAAAGAATTATAACAAATATAACAAAAACTGCTTCTGCAATAAATCACTTACCCTCGCTTTAAGAGTGTGAAACAGATCTGTTGGTAGTCGTCAGTGTAGTGCTAAATGTCTTTAAGCTTGTGATCCAGTTAACTGAGGTTAGAAAACTGCAATGTTCAGTCAAGTCTTGTTTATTTCGTGAAGATTTCTTGGTCGGGGTTGTTTTGTTGAGTCCAGCAGAGCGCCGCTGGGTCTCCACACTCACAGAAACTGCCCAGCGCTTCTCATTTCCATCAAACTTTGAGTGATTTTGTGTGTATTTGTGCTCTTTGTGGGTTTCTCTCAGTATTCTGAGCAGCAGGATGTTGGTTTTCGAGTTGCAGCTGCATTCACAGTGTTTTGATTTTCATGCAACACTTTGATTTAAGCTTCATTGATAATCGACTGGCAGGAGAGGGAACAGAGTGATTGAGCGCAGAGGGAAGATATGTTTGCAGTGGAAAGGAGGTTTTTTGGAGAACGGGGGAGGGAGGGGGAGGGAGAGGGAGGGAGAGAGAGGGCAGCGGCAGAGAAAGTAAAGATGTGTGAACTCTGGCCAGAAACCAGCCGTCATTTGGGAAACTCCTCTTCCTGCTGAACTCCAGCTGGCTGACGGAGGCTGAAGTATCAGGTGGTGTTTTGGAGCTGTGAAATGAAGCTTTTGGCTTCAGCTGAATTTATTTTAGGTTTACTTTCATGCGGCCTGGCTGGAAATATCAGGCGGTGTTGGAGTTGCAGTTGGACTTTGTTTGGCTGATTTAGTTTGGATGAATGTGAGCCGTATCAGGTGGATCTGCTGAGTGATGATGTTGAGTCGAGCTGACAGGTTGATTATTTACACTGCTGGTAACAATGGATGCAGACTCAGTGGAACAGATTAGTATGTGTAGGCGCTGTGTGTTAAACCTCGACAATAATGGAGTCTTAAAAGTCTTAAAAAGATTAAATATAATAATAATTTGAATTTTAGGACTTATGATGTCTTAAAATGTCTCAAAGGACAACATAGCGGACTCCCTCTGTAGATAAAAACGGCTCATTATAACGGTGTGTTCACAGCAAATGCGAGTGAATTATCACCTCGCTCAAATTTACTCTTGGGATCATTTGTGTTTACTTGCATTTCCCCGAATGAGCCCCAAAATAAACAGATTTAATGTCAATAAATGGATCAAAATTATGCCGAAATATCTGCATCATGATGCCGAGGTCTGTGTGCAAGACGACAAGCAAACCAGTTTTAAAATGCTGGATTTCTGAATGGAGTTTGGTTCAATCGGAGCTAACTTCTTCCTCTCCTGCTTTACTCACATATATTCAGGTAATTCTACTCTAAAATTGAACGAGTTGAAACCTGCAGAAACAGGCAGCAATCATAATAAAAGAAGGAGGAGGAAGAGGACAGGAGGCAAGAAGAGGAGGAGGAGGTGAACTATTGACAGTGTGTGTGAGGAAGAGGAGGAGGAGGAGGAGGAACAGCTTTCTCCTCCTGCAGACCAACTGTGTTAGTGAACGTTCATCGACTGATGCTCATTAGGAGCTGGACCTGAGCGGGAGACAGGAGCCAACACCTGCTTCCTCCTCCTCCTCCTCCTCCTCCTCCTATTTCTCCTCCTTTCCTCTCTATCTCTCTTCCTCTTCCTCCCCCTCTCCTCCCTTCCTGTCCTCTGTCATCAGTCTGAGGAGACCCTCTCTCTTTCTCTTCCTGACGGTGGCGGCGAGCAATTAATCCCTCGAATTCGAGTCTTCCAATTAGCAGCTATTTGAGAGCACACACACACACACACACACACACACACACACACACAGATGAGTGTGATGAATGTGTAATGGATGCTTTTTATCATCATTAGAAACATCAGAAAAATGTAATTAGCATATCATTTATTCTGACTGCTCTCTCGCTCAGATTGCTGCTCAGAGGAGAAACTTGAAGAACTACCATTACGTCCTGGCCAATCTGGTGAGTCTGTCTATTTACTGGAAGAACGCATGAATACAGTGTGTGCAGGAGGGGTTCAGTCAGTGAGCGGTGTGTGTGTGTGTGTGTGTGTGTGTGTGTGTGTGTGCGTCAGGGCTTCATGGATCTGAACTTGACGGAGTTTCAAAAGCTCGGGCCCAACGTGACGGGCTTCCAGCTGGTGAACCGGTCCGATCCAGCTGTGGAGAAGATCAACCAGGACTGGCTGGACTTCGACAGCAAAGACCTCAAACTGGCCCGCAGGAGGCTCAAGGTACACACACACACACACACACACACAGTGTTTACTGAAGTAAAAGTACCACACTCCTGTGTAAAAGTAAAGGTCCTGCATTCAAAGTAGAGATGTGCCGGTCCGACACAGTTTCAGTTTTGGTCTGATACGATCCAGATTTTTTGCAGTGTAATTTTGCAATAACAATATTTATTCAGATATAAGAGCAGGGAACAACTAGCAGAAGTTGTCTCAGTTAAGTGATGCTGGTTACTGAAATATATTAAACTATATTTATCCAGTAGAATGAAAAGAATAACTCTAATTTGGGCCAGCCACAGTAGGAAATGTTGTGTTAGCGTTAGCAGCAACTTAATCCAGCTCTTTTACGTCTGTCAGAGAGTAAACAGTAAACAGTGAGGCTGAATGAATGGCGGACCCCACCACTAACAATGACATAACACCAACCAGTATAGAGAGATAATTACAGAAGGTAATGCACTGAGGAAAAAGGGCCGACCATAAATAGCATCAATCATTTATCATTTAGTGCTGAACCTCGTTGTCGTCCTCAGTACACCGGAGCTCTGACCTACGATGGCGTCAGCGTCATGGCGACGGCGTTTCAGAACCTGCGGCGGCAACGGATCGACATCTCTCGCCGTGGCAACGCCGGGGAGTGTCTGGCAAACCCTCCCGCCCCCTGGGGACAGGGCATCGACATACAGCGAGCACTGCAACAGGTTTACACACACAAATATACACAATACAGCACTAATGTAAATGCTAACGATGCACGCTGCCATGGAAACATCTAGAGTCAACATGGCGTGTGTGTGTGTGTGTGTGTGTGTGTGTTTGTTGGCAGGTGCGTCTGGAGGGCCTGACGGGTTGGGTTCAGTTTGACGAGCGAGGACATCGCACCAACTACACTCTGACTGTGATGGAGCTCAGCCACACCGGACCCAGGAAGGTTGTTCCTTCTTTTTGTTGAACGAGAGTTTTTCTAACAGAAGTTTGGTGAGGCGTCGCTCTGCAGGGAGTCGGGAGTCTTCAGGTTTTCACCACATCAGCTCATTTTAATAATTAGCTCCCTCTCCTCTGATTAAAAGTGCGATCATCAGTGAAATCAGCTGCTGCAGCGCTTGTTTGGTATGAAAACCTGCAGACTCTCAGCTTTCTGTTGAACTCCATCAGACAACAGTATTGCAGTTTGAGTCCTCACTGTAATGAGGCTTTGTTGTTAAAATGACACACAGAGGTCCAGGACTCACATCGAACACTTTGAAACCTGGACTTTAAGTTTACTTCTTGCTGCCAAACCAGCCGAGCTCACTGTTTGAAGTAGTTCCAGGAACTATGAAGTCACAGGAGCTAAACTCTGGCACTTATGTCTTGGCAAAGCACTTAGGGAAAAACAGCTGGTGCGCCTGTGGAGCAGAGCTGCATGCACAGCCGATCAAATATGATTAACAGAAAAAAATTATTGAAACAGACGTTGAGCTCTAGATGAGTAAACTCTAACTTC